CATAGGTTCTGGCTCATATGTCATTTCATGAAATTCTTCTGTGTCAGCCAATTCCTTTTGATACAGTGATTCTGTGTATTCCTTCCATCTTCTCTTGATATTTCCTGGATCATTTAATATTCTGCCCAAAGTATCCTTAAGTATTGCCACCCGTGGCTTGAATTTGTTTTTCAGCTCCTTCAGCAACTCAATGGTAGCTAATAATAACAACCATGACAGGGCCATTTGTTATATCAGCCCCAGGCACAGATTCTGCAATACTTGCCAACAGTTTGCAACTCAGCTCATTCTTTTATGCAATACTTCATAACTTTATATTCAGTCACTGAGGCCACTCATCTCACCATATCTTCTGGGGCACTCTGTCCTCCATGCATTGGCCAAAATGCAGCCCAAGGTGATTTGATGTCAGAGGTTAATGTCCATCTCTTGAGAGGACATACTTGCTTGTTGTGTGACCAGAAGTAAACCACTTTCTATATCTGGGGGTTGTTTTGCACATAGCAAAGAAGTTTGAAGTGTGGTTGAGATATGTCCAAAGTACCCAAAAAATGTCGTGCATCATTTATGTGGGCTTCAGAAGCTCCAGCATGTGTGCCATGTATTTAACAACTGTGAATGAGACAGTCTGGAAGATCTAACACTAACCAATGCAGCACTAACAGTCTATGATAATTTCACCATGGCAGTCTCCTCATTTCTTTCCTTCAGTCTCACACTTCATTTCTCTTTATATAGCTACCTTGGAAATTTCTGTTTCCTCATATCACTCATGATATTTGTGAACGAGAAACCAACTCTTATTTGGGGCTGCAAAATATTATGAAGGTGATAATGCCTCTTTTACAAGGAAAAAGAAATAAGTATAAGATTTAAAATACAAGATTTTTCTTTTGTTTAGCTCATAGTAACAATGTTGTTGTTGATTCATAGCAACACTATGAACAAAAGACCTGAACCTTGTTCTATAACTGTCATTTCTCTAAGTTCATAGAGTTTCCAGAGGCATGTTGTTTATGAAGTGAATACCACTCCTGCGTCCAAACCTGTCTTAATCTGGGAGCTCCACCAAACACTGTCAACCATGGGCAACTCTTATGGCATTTGACACCCCAGTAGCAAAGGGTTCAGCATCACGGCAACCTCAGGTTACCTCAGAACAGCAAATTAACAGACCAGTGGTGCACCACTTAGAAGAATGTTTCTCCAAAATATCATAACTCTAGGCCAGAGGGCTGCAGGCACTAGGGCCCAACTGACTTTTAAATACAAAGGCCCTCCAAGGTGTTGGCTCTAAACAAAAGGCTTACATAAAAAACAACCAAACATTCCACACAGACCTCAATCAAAAGAGATTGATTCCTTTTTATTAAGAGTAAAGCAAAACTATTCCATTGAGTAAGTAGATGACTTAAGTTACTTCGAGATTCTGAATAACAAATCAAAAAGAACAGACATCAATAAATGATTACAGGACAAAGAATTAAAATCATGAAGGTGTACTGCAAAGCTTGTTAGAAATTATCTTGCTTTTTGATGTTGTTGTCAGGTACCATCAGTTCGTCCCAATCCATACCAACCTTATGTACATCAGAACCTGATATTGCCCAGTTTGGTGACAATCTCAGTCATTTTTACGCTTAAGCCTACCATTGCCATCACTGGGATACAACAATAGATCTTGTTTAAGGTCTTTCTTTCTTTGTCTAACCCTGTATTTTTTTAATTTATTGGTTTGCTTACAAAGTTTGTATACATTGTGTTTCACACTATTTCTCATTCATATTGTGTTTCAAAAACATCATTCTCATGCACTGTTTTATAAAATTAATCACCATTGGGGCAACAGAAATTTTTATAGAAAATTTCAAAAATACAGAAAACTACAAAAATAAAGGAAAAATTTATAGTGATCCCACCATCCAAAAGTAACAAGCCCACTGTTACCAAGCAGCTTTCTACTCATAGTGACCCTGGAGGTGACACAGTACAACTGACATTATACAACTCCACAGATCTTTCCAGAAGCAGCCTGGCCTCTTCTTTATGCCACTGAGCAGTCCAAATCCAAACAGCTAATATACACACTTAGGAAAACAACACATTTGCACATCCAATGAAAGTTCCTTATAGTGAATTTTTCCGTTGCTTACTATTTTTGTCTCTTTTTTTAATTGTGATTTACAAAAAGGTTGGGTTTTCATTCATGCATGCATAGTTTCCTGCCTCCACTTCCCTTCTGCCTCCCCCATTCACTTTGTAATGTTTGCTGTTGTTTGCCACTGAGTCTGAATGAACCCGTAGTTGACCCTCCAGCAGGTTTTCAGAGACAGTTAATTACATGG